CATAAAAAATGAGCAGGTTAAAATATTGTGGGATTGCCCAATACAAACTGATAAAAGTCGTGGGGCATAACACACCAGATTTAACTGGTTGAAAAGAAGAAAGTGTGGATAATTGATGTGGCAATACCAGGGGATAGTAGAATAGAAGACAAAGAATTGGAGACGATCATAAAGTATCAAGATTTGAAAACTGAAGTTGAAAGATTATGGAATAAACCAGCCATGGTGGTCCCAGGGGTTATTGGCACACTGGGTGCCACACCAAAAACCCTTGGATGACATTTAGAAAATATCTGCATTGACAAAATTTCCATCTGTCAGATACAAAAGGCCACGCTGCTTGGATCCACGCATACACTACGCCGATACATGACAACATCCTACGTTCTTGAGAAGAACTTGATGTGAATGAAGGCCAACCCCAGCTAAAGAACTGGCAGCTGTGATTTCATGTTGTATATAATAATAGTAATAGTGAAACAAGTTTTGATTACTTCTGAACATTGAATACCTGGCTAACTTTCTCTTCTACTTTTTGTTGACTTTTCAGTTTATTCAGAATTGACCTCTGACAAGGATTTCTTTGCATAGGTCCTTCTTCCATGCATGAGACAGGTCAGAAAGCCTGCCAAAAGAGAGCTGAGCTGAAGATGTGCTGGTCTTCTCTTTTCCTCTCCATTCCAGGTTTTAAGTATCTCCTAGAGCAGTGTTTCTCAACCTTGGGAACTTTAAGATGTGTGGACTTCAACTCCCAGAGTTCCTCAGCCAGCCAGAGTTGAAGTCCACATGTCTTAAAGTTCCCAAGGTTGAGGAACTGTCCTAGAGATTTCTCCACTTCAGGATCAGAGGAAACACCAAAATCTTGACCCCCACCTTCTCTCTTTGATAAAAGAGGGAGAGAAAACATTGTCAGGCTTTCAAGATTCTGTCATTATAGCCTAGATCAGGGGTCTCCAAACTCTTCAGCTCATCCCTTCATGATGTTTCAGATCGTTCATCAACCCCCAAACATTTATTACAATAAACATTGAGTGACAACCCAAGGCTTCTCTCACTGGTGGCTGACCATCCAACCTTGGGTCACACTATCTCACCGCTAGTCCCCTCACTTTCAAGACTAGGGACTGGCATGGAGCTCTACAGTGACCCCAAAAGATGAATTGACCCCACTTGATCTATCATTTATCAACCACCTATTGACCCCCAGACATTTACTGACCCCCCCTTTTGACCTCCAGCCATTTATCAACCCCTTGGATAGTCCCATACTGATCACTCTGGGGAACCCTGGCCTAGTTCAATAAAGTTGAGGTCCAGCTTGTCTTGGGGACTCTGTTTCCTGACCTGGCCTATTCCAAAGAGCTGCCGCTAGCCCCAGTCTTGGAATTTGCACCCAGAAACTTGAATTCCCTCATTTAAAAATAGGATGTTTGCACCCTGTATGAGTAATGGTTGACCAATTTGTGATGAATTCATAACATGCTTGATGCTGCAATTCATGGCCTGTGACTTAAAACTTGCAGTTTCTGACAAAAGGGCGGTGTAGAGAGCCAGAAAGATGCCCTTGGAGAAAATACACAGAAATGGTACAAAACCCAAAGAAAGGATGCTTTGAAGACTCATTCCCTCGGAATAGGAGGGAGGGAGGGCAGACTCTGTCCAGCTTTCAAGACTGTGCTACTATTGCCTATTTCAGTAAAGCCGGGTCCCAGTGTTTCTTCTGGAGTCTCTTTCTTCAGGGTCTCTCAACCTTGGCAACTTGAAGAGGGGTGGACTTCGACTCCCAGAATTCCCCAGTAAGCCTTGCCGTTTTGATGCACGAAAGCGGTGAAACGTTTTCGTTTCTCAAGCGCTGGGGGGTTTCAGCGTCTCCCAGATCCTATAAAAAAGCCGGCTCCGATGCGACCCTGTCTCTCTTCTCTCTCCGGCTTCCCGTGGGGCAGGGGCAGGGGCGGGGAAGGAGGGGGCG